GCCTGTATTTAGCATTTGAATACACAGCAGCACCAGACCAACCCCCACTAAGGCAGTGGAAACCCCTGTAAAGAGCTTTCTGGCCCATCCTGTTTGTTATGGTGACAACCCAGGTAAAAAGATGTGGAATAAAGAGTCTTTGTTCTCCTGCCTGTTCCTTTAGGCTACTGTTGAGCTCAGAGATCTTGCTGCTGTTGCTGAATTCCCCCCCAATGATGTGTTTGGGACACAACACAGAGTTAGGCTCCAGGGATCCTCTAGGCCTTCAAATCAAGAGTCAGATGAGACATCCAGCTTTGTAGGCTAAGCAACTACCAGATACTGGACCTCTACAGCATAAGGCAGCCATTGTTGGACTATCTAGATCATACTGCGTAAGCTGAAATAAATCTTTTGTTAGTCTAAGCTGCTTTTGGTCGTGGTATTTTACCTCAGCACCAGAAAAATATAACTAATATGTGGGGCAAAGTAGACGAAAGAGTATCCTCTTGACTAGTATTCTCTGGAAAGGAACCAGAACCTACCCCCATTGCTTCCAGCTCCACTCCCCCGGGGTGTGTGACAAAAGACTATAGATTCCAGAGGAGGCAAATGAGTTTTGCCCTTCAGAGGGCAGAGACAGTAGGAGGGAAGGGCTTAGGAGGCTGGCTTGCCTGATGTTTTTCACGGTGTGTTTGTTTTTATCTATATATTCTGTTTTCCCTCAGCAATTCCAGGCTTATCCTTTGCTCCTGAAGGCAAGCCATAGGAAACAGCATTTCTCTTCCCCCCAAAGAGATCACAGAATCCTTCCTGCTGCCTGCTCCCTGACCTGCTTATCTAAGTAAGACTCTCCCTATTGCAGAAAGATTCCGCTCCACACCCTGGAGGAAAGAATGCTCTATACAGAGAGAGACTAAGAGGAATCTGAAGCACCCCTCCTGTGAGCCTCACAGGGGACCTTTTAATTCAGTCTCATTCAAACATTGTTGGTCCAGCTTGAGCAGTTCGGATGTAATAAAATCCTCATACAACCAATGGACCATGTTCAGAGAACTTCCCAACAGTCAAGAGCACATGGAGACTCTTGGGAGGCATTGGAAGTCTTCTTGGAGGGCATAAGGGTGCCACACCTCTTCCTGTGCCTGATGTACCATTTCCTTGGCATCCTTGGTAGCCAGTGAGCATAGTACCCTAAACTGGGAGCCACTTGTGTCAATCAGATTTCTGTTGCTATAACAAATACACGTGATGGGTGACTTGTAAAGAGAAAGGTCTATTTTCTTTTAGAGTCTGCAAGGTTTCATTTCCGGTCAGAAACTACTCATCTCATAGCCAGGAATTTAAAAAGTGGGGGTGGGAGGTGTTAGGGTCCACCAATCCTCCTTGAGGATATCCTGTCAATGATTTTAAATACCTACCACTGGGTGGGGGGTCTACCTTTTAAAATTTACACCACCTACCCACCTTGTGAAGCTTGAAACCAAGCCTTTAATCTGTGGGGCTAAGAGAGACATTCGGAAGCAAACCTGTAGGGCCATAGTCAAAACAATCAAACCCAAGGATGCAGCATTTGTGGGAGGGAACCCTAGTCATAGCTCATTAATCAGTATGTGAATTAGCTTTTGCCTCATTGTAACCGAGATCGTTGACAGAAACAACTGAAGGGAGACAGGCTTGTTTGGGCTCATACTTTAAGGGGCTTTTAGTCCCTCATGGTGGAGAAAGCATGTTGAAACATTTCCATCGGTAGTGACAGGAGTAAAGGGTGGAGGCTCTTCACCTAGTGGCCTACTTTTGCTATTTAGGCCAGAACTTCCCAGATAGCACCATCAGCTGGGGACAGAGCATCAGCAAAGGAGCTTGTGAGAGACTTGTCACATTCATGCAGAATGACACCTGTGAGTTGATGTTTATCCACCCTTTACCACTGAATGTGGAATGTGTTTCTGTCTGCAAACCAGGAGTATTTTAGGGCGCACCAAACCATGTTGGCTTTTAGTTATCACTTGAGTGACTGAGCGGCTTGATAGAAGAAAGGTCACCTTTATTGAAAAGGGATAGAATGTATGTCATTTAAACTGTTTGGTGCACCAATCATTGCCTTAATCCCTGTCACAACTAAGTGCTAAATGATGAGTTCTTATGTCACTGGGAAGAAAATACCATGCAGATTAAAACCACTACTATCCTCCACTCAAAGTATGTCTGGGGGGAATTTTCATTGTAAGTTTTCTGCTAAGTGAATTTTCACTTTTAGAAATATCAAACAGAAAAGACAAGGGAATAGCTGGAGAGACGATTCAGCATTCAAGAGTACTCATTGATCCTGCTGAGGACCCAGGTTCAATTCCAGGGGCCACATGATGACTCACAACCAATTGTACCTCTAGTTCCAGTGAATATGGTGCCCTCTCCTGGCTTCTGTAGTGTAGTGCACTAGCACTGCACACATAGTGCACATACACACATGTAGGCAATTCATCCATACGCATATGATTCTGCCTACATACAGTATACATATATATGTAGGCAATACATCTATACACATAAGATAATGCACACATATGTGGACATACACACATATAGGCAATGTGCTGACTTGTGCTGATTTGGCCAAGGTCGGGCTGTTCCTGCTAGGTTGTGCTACTGCTGCTGCCATCATGACACTATTGAACTGAACTGCTGATATACCTGTGAAGTGTTTGTGAGTGGATGGAGCTGCCGCTGCTCACCTGTGAACCAAACTGCCTATTTCCTGACAGTGCAAATGGAATTTGTTCCAAAGAACCATTTCTAAGCAGGTTCACTTCCCCCATTTCCTAATAACCTTTCTTTCCCACTACCTCTGGTGGGTGGTGGGCTAGAAGGGAGGTTAAATCATTTAAGAACCATCATTAAAAGTAGGCTTTGAAAAATTAAAGCTTATAGACTATTTATTTTCAGTAGGAGATTAAACCACAATATGTCAGTGCCCTCGTCTGCCCCTTCCTTTCTGACTATTTCTGGTTCTGAATAATGAAAGCTATCTTCCATATGGACATTCCTTCCCGCATTTCTTTTTCCACTGAAGGCACTGTCCAGGCTGGTTTTATGTCAGCTTGACACTAGCTACAGTCATCTGTGAGGAGGAACTTTCAGCTGGAAAAAAAAATGTCTCCATAAGGTCAAGCTGTAGGTAGGCCTACAGAGCATTTTCTTAATTAGTGATCAATGGGGTGAGGGACAGCCCATTGTGCGTGGTACCCCACCCCTTTGGGGTGGGGGCTGGTGGTCCTGAGTTCTGTGAGAAAGCAGGATGAGCCAGCCAGGAAGCAGAACTCCTCTGTGGTCTCTGCATCTGCTCCTGCCTCCAGGTTCCTGTCCTGATTTCCTTCAGGGATGAATTGTGCCACGGAAGTGTAATCCAAACAAACGGTTTCCTCCCCAACTTGCTTTTTGTCATTGTGTTTCATCACAGCAATAGTTACCCTGACTAAGACAGGCAGCTTTCCTTCCCACGTGCCTTCTACCATGGAAAGGTCGATAAGCTACTTATATTTTAATATATAATATAATTTATATTATATTATATTATATTATATTATATTATATTATTATGTATGCCTACTAGCTTATCCTGCCCTTCCATATCTACTCTACAGCACTGTCCCTCTTCGGCATCATAGCATTTATTTGGTTCTTTGTGAATTTCATACAAGGACACAGTGAAATATGATCAGAACCATTCCCCCTTTTCTCTAGCCGGCTTTGTATAATTTTGAACAAGTTTTGGGGTGATTATAACCCTCAACCTTCTATGTTTTGAAGAGAGTTGTTGAGTGTTCTGCATGGGGGAAGTTCTGGGTTCAATCCCCATTACCTCCAGTAAAATAGTAAAAATATAAGCCACTCACATGGTAAGCTCACAATGAACCAGAGTTTAGCTGTTTTTCAATCTTATTACCAGTAGCTAGGGGAAATAATCTCTCTGTCTCTCTGTCTATCTCTGTCTCTCTTCCCCCTCCTTCCCTCCCTCACCCTTTTCTTCCCTCCTACCTTCTTTCCCTCCCTCTTCTCTCTTTGAGACAGGGTCTTTGTATCTCAGGCTGACCTCAAATTCTATGTAGTTGAGGAGGCCTCTAGTCCCTTCCTGATTCTCTTTCCTTGGTTCCCCCCACCCTCAAATGCTGGGATTACAGGATAACACATCTGGTGCAGCTATCCTTTTAAAAATCAAATCTGGAGAAAGTGTATCATTTCAGTGGCGTATTTGGCAGCAAAATTAAGCAATGTTTAATGAGAGTCAAATGTTTTTTTATCCTCTTACAATCCATCGGTTTTAAATTTTATGAGAAAACTACTAGACATTTAATGCTTACAGTTTAGCGTGATAAATTAAATACCTTTGAAACAGTGTGCTGTCTTCGTTAGCTGACCTACATCACATTGCTATAGGACTCTTTAAACGTATGGTTTAGAGGTTGGACATTTACGTCAGTGATGCCTAGCAAGCACAAGGCTTCATATTCCATCCCCAGGACACACACACACATACAGACACATACACTCACACACACAAATGAAATCGCTAAGGTTTGGTGCTCCAATGCATAATGCTCAGAGGGGGAAAAATCAATCAGTAAACAAAATAAAAGTGTGTGTATGTACAATCTAGAAACACGTTGCTGGATATTGCACACCCTAGCAGTGTTTTTTGCTTTCTCCTGACCTGTGGCATGGAAATTATGCAGTTTGCAGGTAATGCTCTGTAAGGTCTTCAGTTTCTTTTCATTGAGTGTAAACACGTGTATTTAGACATCAGTCTAAACAACTGCTAAGTTTTCTTTTTTCCCTGAATCCGTTTGCTGGTGAAGAGGCAAGAGGCAAATCTTTCCTAGGGAATCAGTGGCGGAAATCCTCCGTCGAGCCACGCCCATCACCAGGAGCTCCTCCCTCTCACTAACCCCGCCCACTTCTACTCCATAACTGTGGTGCTCGACCGCTGTGGCTTTTTGTCCCTCGCGGCGAACCGTCCTTCAGACGGTTGTGGCAGCCGCCATGGAAGCGAGTGGACCCTGAGCAGAGGCCGGGCTGGGCCGGCGGCCTGCAGCCACGAGAGGCGGAGGCCGCGAGCACGTAGCTGGGGAGGCAGGCGCGAACCGGGAGGCTGCGGGAGACTCGGCGTTCCGAGTTGCTCCGGCCGCCGAGCTGCCGCTCCTGGCTCCGGCCCCGGCTCCGGCCGCAGACATGGCGGGCGGGCACTGCGGCAGCTTCGCCGCGGCGGCGGCCAGCAGCGGGGAGATCGTGCAGCTGAATGTGGGGGGGACCAGGTGAGCCCGTGACCGCGCGGGGACAGTGGGTGGGACGCCCCGCTGCTGCAGGAGTGGCATGTGCAAGCCCAGGTGGGATAGGTGCTGCAGGCGGGGCGGTGTCTGCACGGCCAGGTGGGGTACCCACTGCAGGGCAGGTTGGCGTCTGCAAGGCCAGGTAGGGTACCCGAAACAGGCAGATACAATTTTGCATGATCCAAGCAGTCCTGTACATTCTTCCGAGTCTGGTCCTAGGTCTTTATTTCCCCGGGTGCCTATGGTGTCAGGCCACAGGAGTACAGTTTGCATGGTGGGCCTGCTTGACCAAGTGACTTGGGGCTGGCCTCTCGAGGCATGAGGCATACTGACAGGTGTCAGCGTTCCAGCTGGTTGTGGTGCGACGACTTAAGCTGTTGCATAGGAGCGGGCCTCCCTTTCTGCATATTTACCTAGTTCTGAGCTAGAGGTATTGAGACACGGTGCTTATGGGGAGGAGGGAGCTTTGGGGACGGGGGCCTTCCCTGGGGCCTGGACCTATGCAGGGAGGCCATGCCTCCCATCCCTCTGCGAGGGACACTAGTGCGTCTTTGAAAACCTGCCTGGGTAGAAACTGTGTGATACAAATGTCAGTGCAGGTAGATCAACATCGTTGTTCATTTGCAGAGTTTCTCTGGTGCACGGACAGGAAGGATCTGTTCCACATGTAGAGGTGTGTGTCTAAATACTGACTTGTGAGCAGCACCTTAGGTATCCGCAAGGAGAAAACCTGATGAATTGCCTTCTTTAGTCTCTCTGAGGCCTTCCACTCCCATTCTGTGCCTTTTTAAAAGTTTGTTGGCAAAACAAACAAACCAAACAAGCAAAAAGCCAAAAACCCGTTTTTGTAGACTTGCCATGACTTATGCATTACTCTTCTCACAAAAGGGTATTGCCTGTACTAGTTGAGGGAAGCTGAGTTTAAGGCATAGTAAGAACATAGGGAGAGGGAAGCTCTAGAACATAGACTATTTTGTTGTCCTGGGAAGGCTGGTTTTCAATGACAAAGATTTTAAGCATGGTAACACTTTTGCTATTTAAGAAATACAAATTAATAGCAGTGAAGCCATGGGCTCTCAGGGCGCTGGAGAACTTGGGATGGTCTTCCGCTCTGTCACCTTTTACCTCCAAAGCAAAGTTTTAACAGTTGGAGAAGTTGGACCTCTAGTGCATTCCATACATAGCAGGTCATATGCAAATGACCTCTGCTGCATTCTGTGCATACCGGGTCTTGTGCAGATGACCTTATCTGATGTAGATGTGTGTTTTCCCTGCCCACCTAGAATTACATAAAACTATTGCAAATAACTTGATATGTGAAAGAGAAATGGTCCACAAAAGGCGTGTGCAGTGTATGTTACTACAGAGAAGCAGGATTGTGATCTTGTTAGATCTTCACCCTGGTTTCTAACATCTGTGGAGGGCTCACATATTTCTTTCCAGGCATTCGAAAGAATATAGCTTTATGACAAAAAACTAAACTACGTTGTCACTTTAAAAAAGATTGTTCTGTTTTAATTGTGTGTGTGAATGCAGGTGCATGTGGAGGCAGAAGGCCTCCCTTAAAGCTGGGGTTACAGGTGTGGTAAGTTTTGTTGAGAGCCACCTGGCATGGATGCTGGGAACTGAACTCTGGTCCTCAGCAAGATTGGCAAGTGTTCTTTTTTTTTGTTTGTTTGGTTTTGGTTTTTTCGAGACAGGGTTTCTCTGTGTAGCTCTGGCTGTCCTGGAACTCACTCTGTAGACCAGGCTGGCCTCAAACCCTTGAACTCAGAAATCCACCTGCTTCTGCCTCCCAAGTGCTGGGATTAAAGGCATGCGCCACCACCGCCCGGCTTGGCAAGTGTTCTTAATCACTGAGCCATTGCTTCAGCCCTTACATTGTTGTTTATTGAGTATTGGAGGTGGATTTGGCCAGCAAGATGGCTAGGCTGAAAAAGGCACTTAACAAACAACAGGGCTGACCACCCGATGCTCCTCCCTGGAACCCTCGTAAAGAGGAGTAGACTGACTCCACGTGCGCACTGCAGTGTGCATTCCCACCTGAAGCATCAAGAATAAAAATGAAAGTGGGTATCTTAAAGACTGAGCTGTCAAGGATTTTACTTTACCTGTGGAACTTGGCTCTTACGGGATTCTGACTATTTCAAAGTGCTAGTTAGCAGTTAATACCAAATATGACAATACATTCATTACTGGTTTGAACATTTTAAAAGACAACCTGTGGCATGGCTGAAGCTCTGCGGCCTCTGAATGAGGATCAGAAAGTACTTGCTCAGAACCAGAAGAAGGTCACAGAGCATGCTGCTTGGGGTGAGACAGTGAGTGAGCAGCATGTGTCGCTTGGGTTTGTCTGGCTTAGTGCTTATGGGGATTTCTTTAAAAACGGGTAGTGACTATTATTGACAGAATCAGCGATGAGTCCCTGTTTTCGCAGGTATCAATATAGGAAGGAGAAGGACTGATGGAAAGTTTTGGAAGCAAACTGGTTTCTTCTGCACATAGCAGGCCTTCCCTCTAAATAAGCAATCTTGGGCAAGTTACTTGATTGGTCAGTTTCCTGAAATGAGAAGTTGCTATAGTACTAGTCTCATGCACTGATAGAAGACGGGAGGGAGTGATCGTGAACCTGAGGCTTAGTGCCATTATCATAGTATTCCTAACTAGAATCATAGTGGCATTATCATAGTA